ATTCTAAATAAATTCAAAACTCGCTCTGTTTGTAGTAAATACAGAGAAGAGGGAGAGTGAACTTCATGAGTGCTTTTTGTCCTGCTAATGTGGCATTCTCTCTCTGTCATTAGTAATACTTAAACAAGCCAAATGTGACAAATGCTTTGTAATGCCACTATTGTAGATTGCCTCAAGTCCTTGTTGAGATTCTTCAGTGAAAGCTCAAGTTGTGAAACTTCAGCTTATTTTCTTCTGCCCTAAACTAAAGCTGTGTGTTCATCTATTATTTATGCATTGGCCATAAGCCTGTACTCTCCCTTTCCCAAGGAGACTGAAGGCATCTGGGTGAGGAAGACATCTAAAATTAAAGCTGGAGTGTTAAATATCCAGGTAAATAAGTATTTAGAAGCAGTTGTGACATCAAATAAAATAATTTTGTGGAAGTTGAGGTTTTTCTTCAGTAGTGGAAGGAGGAAGGAATGTTCACTAATAGCATCTCTGGCTTGGCTTATGCAAGTACTTCCAACAAATCTTCCTCTTTCAGAATGCAAAATATTGCTTTATAAAGTCGCTTCTAGTGTTTACCTCTTACTCAAATTAGTGTTATTACTTCTCAGTGATAACAATATATTTTGTGTCTGTGATGCTGGGGGGTAGAGCACAAATTACATATTGCTGAGAGGTCCTCCATATAGAAAAGTAACTCTCCTTTGTTAACTGTTTTTCTTTCAACATGCAGTAATGGAATTATTTCAAGATAAACTTGGAAAATTGGGGGTAGAAAAAGCCTTTTTTGCCAACATTACAACACTTTACTGTCTGAATATGTGATTTAGTACACACTTGTGTGTTACGTTAGTGAATGCACAGATTAAGAGTATACTGAGAGTGAGATCCATTAGCAAAGCATGTATGTTGCCACTGGCTTTTCCGTGCAGCATGCCCTTGTATGATCCATTCTGTGATGGAAAGGTGCTTCAAAAGTTATGCACAGTGCATAGAGGGAAAAGAATATGAATAGTTATACAACAGAACTGGATATACTAGTTGTTGATCTGGACTTTACTGTGGAACAAGGCTTTACACCTTAAAGTAACGCATGCCCTTAGTCTCCTGATAATCATTCTGTATAACTGCCATTCAGTGTTTTTTGGAATATGTGAGTACAAAATATGAAGTATTGTTTTTCATTAGTGTGCACTGAAAAGAAATGGGAAACTGTGGACAAGCAAGATCCATTACCAAGAATGAGATATTTTTATGTGACCATTAATTTGATAAGAGACTTTTTTTGTTCTTAGAATATTTAACCTGTTCACATACTGATTTGGTGTTTCTGATTTTGTGTGTTTCCATCCTTCCTTCTCTTTAAGTAGGAGCCTGCACTAAAAATAACCATCTAGCTAGATGATTGTGGCTCTAAATGTGGCAGGGGGAAGGCCCCAAATAGTAAGTTTAGTTTCTTACTGAATTCCTATTTCTTACTACTAATGCTTTCCTACTACCGAGAGGGAAGCATTAGACCTTTTCATGGTTTTACTGGAGTTGCTAGAGAGCTGCTTGCAGGAGTAGTATTTTAGGAAGTGGATATACTTGAAACTGGAAGCTGTTGGCTTTTATATTGCAATAAGGTCACACTTTTTCATACTCTGTACATTTCCTGCGTAGGAATGCTGGATGTCATACATGCAGGCTTACAAATTAGTACACAGCCATGCAGTGTGAGCAGCATGTAAGGTATTGTTAACAGGCATTTCACCATTGATCAAACTGATATCAGTAATATAAATAGAAGATAGCCTGGTACAGCTGTATGTCCATGTTTGGGGTTTTGGTGTTTTGGGGTTTTTTTTCTCCTCTTAAAATAACAAATAGTTTTATTTGGCTAATGGTTAGGCATCACTTTCGGTCTAAAAATGGCTTCTTTTAAATGCACTTCAGATGCATATGACCTACTGAAACTTGGGTGTTAGGTTTTACATAAGCACTTTGACCCAAACTTTTATGTGCCGTACTTTTGTGCTACTTCATTTTCCCATGCATCGTCCTGTAGTGTAGTCAAATAGTGAAGCACAACATCTGTTTTAAACATGCACAATTGCATGGTTCCTCGGAGACTTTACTTTCTTAATATTTAGAATAGATATATTTAGATGTATCATAGCGTTTCCTATGTGTCAGTAACCCGATAAGGTTACGCACTTTTAAAAAGGAATGGTGGATTAATCTTCGAGCATCGGGAACAGCAAGGTGAGTTTCAAATTTGAAATTGCCTTTGTTGCTTCCACAAAACAGTCGCGGCTGTTATTTTCGTGAGGCTTTTTGCGTGGGACCGCGTTCAGGCAGGGCTGCTAGCTTACACGTGCCTAGAATTCGAAGCGCCCAGGCAGCGTCTTTTCTCGCACCACCCCTCTCTCCGCGGGGTACCGTCCGTTCCCCAGGTTCAACAGGCCGCCCTCCCTCCCCCTCACAAGCCTCCTCTCGCCCCGCGGGCTGGCCCGCCTGCCGCCGTCGGAAGTGAGGTCGCGGCGG